TACTCATCGGCCGGCTGCCACCTGGTCACCAGAACTTAAAGGACTGACCTGCAGCTCCCGCAGGGATTTCTTCAACATCTCCATGTTGTCAGCTATCTTCTTTTCCTTGCCAAGCCTGGAGCTTAATTCCTCCTGCAGACACTTCTCTCGCTCGTGACTCTGTTGGTTTTCTTTGGAGATCTGCCTGACCTGTTCTATCACCTGACAAAAGCGTGCAAAGAAAGAGGAGAATCAGGCATTACATCAATGTCTTTTTCCAGCCCAGGGGCCATGGATTGCCTCAGTGAGCTACGACTGAGACTTCCTGCAAACTGGTCACCATCCCAGACTCCTGGGCTGCAGCCCATTGACTCCAGCCCATTTTTGGAGGGGCAAAGGGGATCGTGTCTCCTTCTGTCCTGCTTCTCAGCTGGGACAGAACTGGTTCTGTTCAGCAGCTGGAACAGCGCTGGGGTTTGGTTCCAGCTGGGATTTGTCAGGAGAGAAACGCTGAGAACATCCCCATGTTGCATTTGTGTCCCTGGCACTGAAGGACTTTGTGTTTGTCCGTCTGCAAGCGCAAGATCTCAGGGGTGAGGAATATTGACATGGATCAGCTCCATGGGCATTGGGCTCTGCCAAGGGGCTGTTCCATCTCCTGTCCCCCATGGGCAGGAGATCCATGAGGGGCTCTTCCTCTCTTGCTCTCTCTGGCTTTGGCTCGGGCTCTGGCTCTCCCGGGATTGCGGTTTCGGGTCGGGATTGCCGCTCCTCCGGGATCGTGATCTGGGAACAGGCCGGGCTTGGTCGGCGGGTGGTGAGCAATGGCACTGTTTGCATTTTTGATTACTATTACCATTTCAATGTCATTATTATTTATATTTTTTGTTCTATGACAACTATTAAATTGTCGCTATCTCACCCTACCAGTCTCCTTACCCTTGCCCCCCAGTTCTCTCCCCTATCCCCTGGTCGAGGAGGGGAGTGAGCGAGCGGCTGTGTTCAGCTGCCAGCCCAGTGCAACCACCACACCTTCACATCAGGAAGCAGGATCATTAACCTGGGATAGCTGCTGCATAACACTGCTTGGGGAAACTTGGATGCTACAGGCATTACCGGGCACAGAGAATGTGCTGTTGCTGTTCTGCAGCCGCTCCCTTGAGCCCCGTCGGGCTTTGGAGACACCGAGCATCCCCGTGTGCAGGTATCCAAACTCACCTGCTGCTCCGTAACAGCTTTCCCTCCAACACCCGCTGCCGCTGGAGAACAGAATCCCATCACTTGGGTTTTGAAGGACTCCAGCTACGATAGAGACCAACAAAGGAAACCAAAAATCACTGATAACTGCTACCAGCCTCCGCTCTGCACCAAACCTGGGCTGCTTTTCAGAACGTGTCACCAAACAGCTTGGGTTTTCCTCTTCTCATCCATTGGGTTTCCTGAGCAATTCTTGCCAGCAGAACTCTGCGTGGCAGCACAAGGGTGGAGAGTGTCCTCCCCGTGCAAAGCACCGACTGATCCTGCTGATCCAGCGCGACATTATTCTGCTGTTAAAGGGCTGCCTCTGCCTGGGCCAGCGTTACCTAGGCACGTGGAAGGGTTTGCATGGGTCCCAGACAGTGTGACTGCGGTTACTGACAGTACAGTGCGTTTCTGTATCGTATTAAACTCACTACATCTTCCACAACACCTACCTAAACCCTAAGGATAAGCCCCTTGTGCTGCACCCCACCACGAGTTCAGCCCATGCCAGGCTTCGGCGCACAAAATTCCACATTCCCTTTCCCCAACTCCAGAATTTCATCCTTCTCCATGGGGAAAACCTGCACTTTGGCTGCCTCCAGCCCTGGCTGCGGGACTCTCCCATCCCTACCTGCTCCTTGGCCCGTTCCAGGTCGGCTCTCAGCACTCGCTCCCTGCGCCCCATCTCCTGCAGCTGCAGCACTTGCCTGGCACCAGCTTCCTTCAGCTCCTCCTCAGCCTGCGACCATCAGAGCGTTAGCAGATCAAAGCCATCCCACAACATCACACCATAAGCAATTCAACTACAAACAGTCACTATACACATCGGGCAACTTCAAATACAGCTTTGAAATAGCAGGATGCTATTTTTGGTATTTTGCTAATGCTGCTTTTTTTTGCCTGGGTTTGGTCCTGTCCTGGTTTTGCTGGGATTGAGTGAATTTTCTTCCAAGTAGTTAGAAAGCACTGTGGTTTGGTTTCAGGATAGGATCTGATATGAGAAGATTATTGATAACATACTAGGACATGGCGCTTTGTTACTTTGCAAGTGCAAAGGACTGGGAGGAGGGAAGTGTGGTAAATAGCAAAACACAGAACTGGTAATTGGCTCTGCCAATGAGATATTCCATATTATATCATGTTGTGTTCAATGGCAAGTGCAAAGGACTGGGAGGAGGGAAGTGTTGTGATTAGCAAAACCCAGAACTGGTAATTGGCTCTGCCAATGAAATATTCCATATTATATCATGTTGTGTTCAATATATTAATGAGGGTTGACCTGAAAGCAGGGGGATTATCTCGGGAAGCACTCGGGTTCACTCTTTCAGGACTGTGATTTCAGATTCGGGGTTCTTTTTCGCTCCTCTGGGATCACTATTGGTGGGTGGTGAGCACTTGTACTGAGCATCACTCATTTGTATACATATATATATATATATCATTACTATTTTAATTTCATGTTACTCCAATTATTAAATTGTTCTTACCTCAACCTATGAGTCTCATTACCCTCTCCCCTCCAATTCTCTCCCCTATCCCCTGGGTGGGGGGGTAAAGGCAGGGAGGTACAAGTGGCTGTGTGGTGTTTGACTGCCAGAGAAGTTAAACTACCACAGCTCCCCTGGGCCGTCAGCATCTGTCCTCGACTTTCCAACACAGCAGTTCCTGCTGTACCCTCTTCCCTCGGGGTCCGTGGAAGAGCTCAGCTCATTTTGACCCTCTGCCTGTCCAGCCCGCATGCCTGGGGCTCGCAGAAGGCAGGGAGGTACAAGTGGCTGTGTGGTGTTTGACTGCCAGAGAAGTTAAACTACCACAGCTCCCCTGGGCCGTCAGCATCTGTCCTCGACTTTCCAACACAGCAGTTCCTGCTGCACCCTCTTCCCTCGGGGTCCGTGGAAGAGCTCAGCTCATTTTGACCCTCTGCCTGTCCAGCCCGCATGCCTGGGGCTCGCAGGTCCCCATCCCCCGTGTCCCCACCTGTGCCAGGTGGCTGAGGTACCCTCCGAGCCCGTCCCTCCCTGCCCTCTGCCCCATGCCCCGCAGCCGGGCACTCACCTTGGCTTTCTCAGCCAGCTGCTTTCGGGTGCTCTCCTGCTCGCTGCAATACCTCTGCACTTGCCCCCGCAGCCCCTCCAGGTCATGTTCCAGCTCCCCGATGCGCTGCTAGAGTCCCAGGATGGCAGAGTCACACTAGAGGAGCTGGGCTTTGCCTCTCCAGAGGATTTCAACCATTCAGCAAAACATTTCCCCCATCTATCCCATTTCATTTCCCCTGCAATTTTCCTCTAGCCCATATTAACTGCGGTTCGAGTGGCTTTCGAGTCAAATTTCCAACTTATTGACACCATTCTTCTGCATCGTAACGTGGTGTCACAGTTTTTACAGCAGTTTACATTCTCTGGTTCCTTTCAGACATCTATTAAAGGACCCTGATTCCAACCAACTCCCTTACCATGCCCAGTTAATGATTCTCTCGCTGCTCTCCCATCTGCTCCGTCACCCCAAATGGCTCCAGACTCACCTTTTGCCACGCCATCGCCTCTCGCTCACCAACTTCACGCTTCAGTTCCTCTTCGATTCTAGAGCACTGGAACACATGGCAACCAAGGGAAAGAAAAAAAGCCATCAGGGCAGGTGGGGGCTGTCATTTCTGTAGCAAATGTCAACACAAACTTCAGGGCTACAGCCCAGCTAAGTGCTCTGACTTCTAATGGGTGGTGGTGTGTCCACGATGGAACCACCACAGCACTGGCAGCACCAGAGTATCTGCACCTGAAAATGTTGATACTAAATCATTCCCTGCCCAAGAGAAGGACACACGTGTGCAGGGAGACCCCAACACAGAGCGATTCCTCTGGCCTTAAAATTAGTGTAACAGGGATGGGGGAAAGGACCAGAGGAAATTAATGCCTCTTAAAACATCCCTGGTAACCTGACCGTGATAGTCACAGATTTCCAGGCTCATCATCCCTGTACCAGGCTGTGCCTTGCAGCTCTGCGTCCTGCCTGCCCCAGCTCCCATCTCCCTCTGGGTCTCCCCACATCCATGGAGCGGAGGAAGCCACAGAGATATGCTCTGGGATGTGCTCTCTGCCTCACTGTGAGGGGTGTGGGCCACCAAGTGCCACCAAGCACCCTTCTCTGTAACATCTGATCCCCTTTGTGTGCACAGCAGCTCTGATGCTCATCCGGTTCCCCTTTCCACCAGTTGATCCACATCCTTCATCTCCAAAGAGCTACACAGGGAGGATGCTCAGCCTGCCAAGCTGGCAGGGCATGCTCACCTCTGCCTACACCCCAGGGGCCCCCACATATCTTTCCTGTTACTTCAAAATTCACAGCAAATCACTCAAATCTGCTGGAAGAGCTCCCAGTCCGCTGGCCAAAACGTAGCGCCTGCTCTGGGCTTATTATGCAGATGATGCAGCTCTACCCAGTACAGAGAAACAACCTGTTTTGTCTTTAAGAGAAAAGCCAGGCTGGGCTGCAGGGAGCCACATGAAGTCAGGGTTTCCATGGCTCCTCGGGAGGATCTTGGCACAAGCGCTTTGTACGGACAAACAGCTACTGTGCTCCCAGCAATCCAGGGCAACACAGCACCTGAATGCAGAACAGGGAGGGGGATTCAGCTGGGGAAGGTGACACGGCTCCGTGGGCACAGACACGGCCACGGTGTCCCACTGGTGCAGCTCTACAGGTTCTCCTTGGGAGCAGCCGGGACCCTCAGGTGACAACTGCCCTGATAAACAGCCCCCAAAATAGCTGCCACACTCCTTAACGGGGAGAATCACAGCCCTTCCCAATCTCATTGCCCCCATTCATCCATACACCATACTGAAAATCACTGAGCCCCTCGCTAGGGACTGTAACCTTGGCAGACACGACCACCAGCTGATTGTCCTTATCTCTGTTTTCCTTCTTCAGTTTCTCAACATCTTGCTGGAGTTGCTGCATTTTCTGCTCCTTGTCGCCAATCTCCCTTTGCAGGCTGCTGGCTAGACCTGAGAAAAACAACTCCAGTCAGAGGCTTCCCAGGCCTGTCCCTGCAAAATCCCTGGAGAAAAGCCCTTTAAGCTCATCGAGTCCCATCATGAACCCAACACTGACAAGTCCCCAACTAACCCATCTCCCTCAGCACTATGTCTACACGACTCTTCAATCCCTCCAGGGATGGGGACTCCACCACTGCCCTGGGCAACCCCTTCCAATGCCCCAGAACCCTTTCAGCAAAGAAATTCTTCCTCACATCCAATCTCAACTGCCCTGGGCACAACTTGAGGCCATTTCCTCTTGTCCTGTCCCTTGTTCCTTGGTTGAACAGACCCACCCCACCTCTCTATAGTCTCCTTTCAGGGACTTGGACAGAGCCAGAAGGTCTCCCCTCAGCCTCCTTTTCTCCAGGCTCAACACCCCCAGTTCCCTCAGCCGGGAACTCAGCACACTTGTGCTCCAGACCCTTCCCCAGCTCCGTTGCCCTTCTCTGGACACGCTCCAGGCAGATCCAGGCTCTGATGCCTCCTCCCTGCCAAGCACCCACGCTGCTCCCTTATCGCGGGCGATGACATCAAGCAGAACCCTTTGGCTAATCTGAATGCATTGCACCACAGCTGATATTTTGTGTACACACTGCATTTCTCGTGCCTGATAAAGGCAGGAAAAGGCTGGTGGTGCAAGATGGTCCTTGCACCACTGGGCTGGGCAGGTCTCCCCACGGGGTTCCTGGCAGCCCGTGACTCAGCTCTGCTTTTGAGCTGCTAGAAGCCCACAATCAGCCCTGGAGGCTCCTTGTCCAAGAAAAGTTCTCCATTCCATCACTCCCCACCTTTGGTCCCAACATTCTCCCTTGCTCCAGGGGAACTTGTCATGTCAGATGCTGCCTGCAGCTCCCATGGAGCTTCAGGACCCAGAAACAGAGGAAGGACAATCTCTACCAGCCACTACCGATCCCTCATTGCCCGGACAGGTTTGCCAATGCTCAGCCATTACCAAAAGCCCATCCCAAACCGCTTCGTGCCCCTACCTGGAGCTCCAGGGACACTGTACCTGCTGCCAAAGCATGGTCCCTCTTCAACTTCTCGCTTTCCTTCTGCAGCCTTCCAATCTCCAGGTCTCTCTCGTAGAGGGAATGGCTGAAAACCTCACTGGAGCCTTTCTGCAGGTGGCTGATCTGCAAAACATCATGTTGGTCGCACTCCTCGCCGGATAACTCCCTTCAGAGGGAGACAACCAGCACTTCCCGGTCACACGCTGCTGGAGTTATTTTTTAGCACCTCGGACTTGCTCTCAGCAGTTGCTGCTTCAGATGGGAACATCTCAAATCTGTTTTGGCTGTTCATGCTAAAATCCTACCGTAAGAGGCACAGAGAAGCTCTGTCTCTCACTCTCTGCTGTGTCTGGAGTCCCTGGCTGGGGCTGGACAAATGTCCTGACGCAGCAGCAAGCAGAAATGCCTGCACATGGATTGCTTTTTCAACACATAGATATTTATTATTCACAAATGCAGATCTGGAGCTGCTAATAACTCTGGTCACAAGGACAGGTTTTTGCAGACCCCACTGGAAATGAGGAGTGGGAACAGCCTACCCTCCCACTTCAGCTACCGCCGCTGCACAGGCAGCACAAACACGCTTCCCTCTGCTCAAATGACCGGTTCCATCAGGCAATTACTGTAGACTATGAGAGAGGGAATCCACAGGTGGAAGAGGGTTTTGCCAGAGAAAGGAAAGCTGCAGAGAAAGGGAAGGCAGGCACCACGTATGGGCTCATCTCAGCACGCTCACAGCAGAGATGCTGACAGCGCCCGGAATTTCTATCGACTTTTCTCCACGAGGAACCTGCTTATCAACAGTTCCGCGTCACAACAGACACTCTGGGCAAGCACCAAGCACTTCACAGCCTCCTGCAGACCCAGAATGGTTCAGGAGGGCAGGATGTGCCAGTGAAGACACTGACGTGCGTGTCTTGTGCTGGACCAACCCCTTGGATCGACCCTTTTCCCACACTGGAGACACTCAGGAGGATTCCAACACCGTCTCTCCAGGACATTTTCTGTGTGTGCTGTGAACACATCCCTGGGCACGACAACTACGAGCCTCTCTCCTTGACCCAGCTGCCTGTTTTCATCAGCACACCAAAGGCTCACGGTGCCTTTGGGGCAGATATTGCCCCCACAGATGCAACTGCCTGCTCCCTTCCTGGGGTAAGAGGGAAGCAAGGGCATCAACCTGCCTGGCTGGAGGTGATCATGTGTGCCTTTCCCCCCCTCCCAAAGCCTGCTTAGGCTT